TTTCGTGGCACAATAATGTTATTTCAGTTTTTTCGATCAGTAAACTTCATGCAACAGTTTTGTGTAACTGATCCTAAATCTTCTAACAGCCACCATATTTATATTGTTTTTTCCTGATGCCACAGTTCCTACCATTGTTAAATAAATTGGTTTTTTTTTTCCGTCATGATCTTTATTTAAGAATTATAATATTAAAGAAATCAAAATAATTTATAGAATATAAAGAAGAAAACATGTTAAAAAAAAGCAGTTAATCAGAAGAATATATGTTGTGTGGAATAAATTTGGGAATAAATGCAAAGATTTTTCATAAACATAAATGAATAAAACTACCTCAGCTCTTCTCCCCAAAAAAAACTGAAAAAGATCCTCAGTGATGATGGTATGGCTGAAAATAATGTCATGGCACATGCAAAAGATTAACGATCTTTATTGTTTCAAAAACAAAAAAATGGCACACATGATTTTTAGTATTATTAATTTGTTAAACTATAACAAAACCACACACTCTTTACTTTCAGATGAATCTATTAAGCATCACATAAATACTGCTTTTTAGTAAACTTGGGGAGAAATCATCACAAAGTACTTTCTATTTGAGTTAACAATTTTCACACTTTACTTGCAATTAAATTATGAAACATCATAAAGTACTTTTGATTAAAATAAGAAACTAAACTTTCACACAGATTTAAAAACCATGCATAGAACTGTCCGCAAATAAAAAAAAAAAAAAAAAAAGAACTGGTTTTTAATTAAATTTCTTTGTCTTTCATGCAGGTAATATTTAAGAGTTCAGAATGCACATCACAGCACTCTGGTTAATTGTTTAAATGCACAGCCCTCATCTTCAGCAGCCAGCACGCAGAGTTCCAATACCAATGTTTCGTATCAAGTCTAGTCCTTCAGCTGTGGTCTTTGTACATCTGTGTTTGTCTAAAGTTTCTCTTGGGCTACCTTGCTTTCTCAATTCATTTGTTTCCCATTTCAGTGCTCGTTTTATGATTCTTTGCTTCCTCTCAGAATGTGTCCCAACAGAACAAGTTTACATTGTAAGTAATAATAATAACAATAGTAATAATGATAATCCCTTTTTTTTCTTCAGGTGTCTGGTCTGGACGTGGCATTGGTGATAAAGACTCTTCATTTATCTTTGTTATCTGATATCTTATCTGACTTTGTATACTTTCCACATAGAGCTTTGTTTTCTCTTTGGCCATTGTTTAAATATAATAGAAAGCACAGCCAACACCTGAACATGTTAGATAGCCCTAAACCTAGGATAGACCTGTACAAAACAAGCTTAGCGTACTATCTGTGTAATCACCTTCGACAGTGAATCAAAAATACCACTAACCCTTATACATACAATTAGAAATATTTGAATGCTGTCTCACTACTGACATTTTCCCTTAAAAGATAATAATTGAAGCATTTTGTATATTTGGGCTAGATTTATTACACTTAGCATACTTAGTCTTATTATTATTATTTAGGATTGAAGGTATTATTTGAGCACATTCTAGTATTTGTAATGAAGATGTTGATAATGATGTTTATTGTTATCTGTTCAATGATGTATGAATTAAATAACCGGCTATCTTCCGAATAACGGGCGGTAAAGATGGCGGCTGCAAAATATCCTTTTGAACCTCAGTCACGTGACTTAATTTGCGGTTTTTCTCACGAGCGAAGCTGCAGGAGATGCGGAAGCTGCTGCTCGTGAGTCTTAGCCATCTAATTTAGCCCCAATCCACGCCGCATGAGGCATGGGGGACTCGTGGCGGTGGCCGTAGTCACCAGAGAACCGCAAATTAAGTCGCCTGAAGTGCGCAATTGACACGTGACTGAGGCTTGAAAGGATATTTTGCGGCCGCCATCTTTAGCGCCCGTTATTCAGAAGATAGCCAAATAACCTATGTAAGAAGTGACACTGAAAGGGCATAGTCTAAGACAGGCCTGCGTGCCCAATTCTTAACCCTCTGAAAATAAAGTTTGTTTCTTCATCTACCTCACTTGCTTACAGTTATCCTAAAAAATGTTAATTTCTCTGTCCTACCTTTACTGTTGTCATAACTCATAAATTTGATTGAGCCTTTGGTTTTGGTTTTGATAATGATCTTTTAACATGTGTAAATCACATACAGTTTATTTTGTTTTCTTCTCGTTCCATGATCTGCTGAATATTCTTCTCAAAACTCACATCCTCCAGCTTCTTCACCATTTCTCTACTCATTGTCCAGTATTTATATATATTCAGAAGATGACACCGCTTTTAAGTCAGCAGATGTCTTTACTTACTTTCAAAATGGATGTATATTGTGGAGTTCACGTCAACCTGGTGCACAAGTCAACCTCAAGGTTTTTAGCTCACAATTCTCAGTTTTCCTATACCTACCTAGAACATTGTATACCCGCCATATAAGTCAAACTCTAGTTTGAGATATATTTTGAGGCTTGAAAAGTAAAAAAAAAAAAGTACAGGACCCTTTTCCACGCCTTTAGGTGTATAGGGCATATAGGGCTAGACCTATATTTTTATAGACCAATCGGCACAAGATGGGTGATGTGGTCAGCATCACCCGGCCGCCTTTACTTCCAGGGACTGCACCCGGTACCCACTCAAGGCTGGGTCAACCTGGGAGCCAAGGTCATTTTTTAAAATAGTCCGGCTCCGCCAGGGAGCGAACCCGCAACCTTCCGATCCCCGGCAAGCGTCTAGCCGCTCGGCCACTGCGACCCCCCTGAGGCTTGAAAACTCAACTTATATGCTGCAATGTACGATATATTGACAATAATTATTAATAAAAATAATATCTATAGATATAGTAATAATGCAACACAATATTAGTAATAAATACAATCACAGCAACATTATAATAGCAACTAAAACAAAGTATGCAAACTAAAACTGTGAACATGCGTATATTTGAATATCAGAACTCTTCACAAATGAGTACAAGTGCCCAACATATCTACGACATGGATGACAAAACTGGCAATTTCTAACAGCACTCTTTACTTTGTGACCTCGGAGGTGTTGTGCTTTATGATACTAAAACTAGGCTATACAAGGGGGAAATTAAATATGATGTTTCTGTTACCGCATTAGGCTTCTGTTGATTGGAAGTAATGAAAGAAAAAAATAGAAAATGAAATCTGTTAGTTTGGATTAAAGAAAGCAGATAGAAAAAGAGAAAATAACAATTGTTAGTTTGGATCACATAAAATGTTAATTTAAAAATACAGAACGTAAATATTTGCAAGACTAGTAGTTGAGAACAAAAAATAGATGAGCTACTAAGAAAATAAAGAAATTAATGATTGGACTATAAAAATCTCCACTTGTGTGATGCATCTTGGTTTCCAACACTATACCACAGCCCCTCCCTTGTCAAGGCAGAATAAATGATTCTGACAACTACCTCTAGTCACTAGGATAATTAAATAATTATAATTAATGAAATAATTATAATCACATGTAAGGATTTCCCATCATACTTTGTTCTGCATCTTTATGGAGCACTCATAAATGCCTTTTCCAATCCATGTTTTAAAGCTCTCCACCTACATTTAATGTTATTTCATTCTTGCGAACTTTTTATCCAACTCTACCCCCTAGAGCGGCGTCTGTGGCTAAGGCGTTGCGAGTCCGACTCGTAAGCCAGCATACCGCGATCGAAACCCACTGCAGGCTGCGTGGATTTTTGTCGTGGTATGGGACGTCGCAGGTCGACCCAGCCTAAAATGGGTACCAGGATGGGCTGTTCTGGGAAAGTAAAGACAGCCGGCGTAATGCTGACCACATTACCCACAGTGCTGATGGTCTGTAAAAATATGGGACGCTCTGCCTGATGCGCCGAAAGGCGTGAAAAGGGATCTTTACTTTACTTTTTACTTACCCCCTTGAAAATTTTTTTTTGGTCATTTCTCCTTTACTGGAAATCAAAAACCAACATGACACTTGTTGGCTATTGTGTGGCTATAGTGGACAATTCCGTGTCCAGTATTTTACCATACTTACTGAATGGTCAGCGTTTATACTGAGGTTGTCGAAACCAGTGCAAAAGGGTTTCCTGCTAGATCATTTGCAGCTGAAACTGAACTCAGTACATCAGAATTTTGAAACTTCATTCATAATCCTTAAGCCACAGAGACTGACTTATATGGTTTCAGTGTCTTATATTGTAATGTTTTTTTCACTCCTAGTTTTTAATATTTCCTTATTTGTTCTTCTTATATTCTCTGCCATTTATGTTTTCAATTCACTTATATTTATATTCACTTGTACATGTCATGTTTACCCTCAAGTTCATTCACTGTTCATCTATCTACAATATACAATACATACAAAAGTAAATTTAACACTTAATTTTAATGTAAAATTCTAACATTGTAGTTCAGATGTGGAAAACTGATCTTGATGAATGTCACTTTTGGCTTTCCTTTTTTATCTTTCTTATTTTCTTGTCACATTTTTGTCTAAATCATCCTAGTAATAACACTGTTGGCTTTTTACACTGAATTTTCATTTACTACATTTTTAAAAACTGATGTAATCTTCGTTTACAGTTAGTTTTATTTTCTTAGTATTTATGTGTATAATATTTTTATGGGTTAGACTGTGTATGTGAATAATTCGTTAATTTGATTGCACAAGTTTCTGACATCTGTATAACACTCCCATTCCTATGCTATAATATTCCTTATTAGCATGTTATAACAGATTTTTGCCTTGCCTTTACTTTGCCCTGCATTACAAATCTTTACATACTAAATAAGTTGATAACTATTAAATAATCACCAACTTAAATAACAAATTAGAAAAAAAAAATAAACAAATAGACAGCACATGGAAAAGCTGAATAAATTTGGATTTTCTAAATGATAAAGTAACTTAAACGAAGACCCCCCCCCCCCCCCCCCCCCCCCCCTTTCCTTTCTCCCCCAAAAAGTTCCTGTGTTACAGTGTTACATCTTGGACCACAAAATTACTGTACCTCTTCCTCATCGAGAGCGTATTTGTTTTGACCTGTAGATTTCAGGTTGCCTCTGAAATCTGTAGATTCCTTGATTTGTTTGGTGATTTTCTTGAGTCTGCGGAAAGAAATTCCCAGATACATGTAAGTAAGCTAACAGTTCTAATTTCAAAAGCATGTTGTTTGACATTAATTCACAAAGAAATCAATAAATTCCCTGAGTGAGTTCCAGGGCCCCATTGGGAGGGGGGGGGGGGGACAAGAATAGACCCTGTGTTCCCTCCCAACGAGCATGTCGTAAAAGGTGACTAAATAGGGACATTTCCTTCAGTCTGAAGGCATCTTCCTAAGAGGCGAGAAACCAAGAGTTTGCATACAAATAAGAAATACAAATACATCACAAGCTAGCTTTGTTTGGGCACGTAGTGAGACATGACTCGATTGCAAAGACTGTACTTCAAGAAACATTTGGGGTGTGGGGGGGGGGGGGGGGTAGTTGAAGAAGAGGAGGGCAACAATAGCCGACTTTACTTTAACCATTTTTCTTGCGATGCTATATCATTCGTTGTAGATACAAGAGAGACAGAGAGAGAGAGAGAGAGAGAGAGAGAGAGAGAGAGAGAGAGAGAGAGAGAGAGAGAGAGAGAGAGAGAGAGAGAGAGAGAGAGAGAGAAAAAGAGAGAGCCATATAGGATAAAACCCAATGCAATGAAACCGACTTGACTTACCTTTTTTCTTGTGATGCTATATCATACATTGTAGATACAAGAGAGAGAGAGAGAGAGAGAGAGAGAGAGAGAGAGAGAGAGAGAGAGAGAGAGAGAGAGAGAGAGAGAGAGTGAGATAGACAGATAGACAGACAGGCCAGGACAGACAGACAGACAGACAGACAGTTTCAGATAGATCAAGAACAAGATGAAAAGATAACATCAGAGAAACTTAACAACAGCATCAAGTGTCTACAACTGAGGCAGCCAGAGAACAGAACCTTGTTATCTGCCTCAAGGCAGCCAGAGAACAGAACCTTGTTATCTGCCTCAAGGCAGCCAGAGAACAGAACCTTGTTATCTGCCTCAACACCCAGCGTGGTAAAGAAAAACACTAAGAACACAAAGTTATGTTTACTTACTTGCTCTCTGTCTTGTTGACCTTCCTGAGCACTGGTTTGATGCTTTAAACAGAAACAAATATATTCTGTAAATAATATGCATGTCTCCTTTATTTCACTTCAACAATGTTAAAAAAGAAACAAGGTTAGTTGCTTTTCCTTTACAGGATGTTGCAGAAACAACCCTAGCATTTTTGTTGGCTGTTGTGGTTTTTTTAAGCAAATTTTAGATTCAGTAGTTTGCTATTGCTTTTTGAAAGGTCAGCTCTCAGTACCACTGTGGAAACAAACGCAAGAAGTTCTGCTGCCAAACTACCTACAGCTGGGATCGAACCCGGCACCCTGGCATTAGAAAGAATGTTTGCAACACCTAAGCCACAGATGGCGACAAAAAGTTAGTTTTGTATCTTTTACAGGATGCTGCTAAACTGAACCTAGCATTTTTTTTTAGCTGTTGGGGCTTTTCTAGGCAAATTTTATGTTCAGTAGTTTGGCATTGCTGCCTGAATGGTCAGCTTTCGGTACCAATGTTAAAACTGGCTGGAACTGAACCTGGCATCCCGGCATTACAAAGCGCGTTCGCAACACTCAAAGCCACAGATGAAGACAATAATGTACACTGTCTTAAACTGGGAGATTAAATATGAGGTACAAAAATAAAAAAATGAATACAAAAATTAATTTTTAAAAACTAAAACATACAATAAGTGCTTGAAGAGATATGATAACAAAGTGTGACTGGCTGAGTGATTAGAAAGCAGGACTCATATTCAGGAGAACCAAGTTTGAATCCTCAGTAAGGTAACAGGACCTGTTTGTGTTGTTGTCCAGGACAACAACAATCACTCTAACCTGCATATTTAGTGACAATTGCACCAGCCATATGGCCATAAATCCTCAGAATGAGGATCCCCTGCTCCTCATTACCTTCAAAAGTGGCAAATATTGGCCACTAAATACAATGTTTGCCTGCGCAGAATAGAGGGAATTAAATGATATGATAAAATAACTAATGTAGAGCTTAGGGAGAGAACTAAGCAAGCTCCAGTGGACCAAGAGGTGAGGAAAAGACGATAGCTTTGGATTGGAGACACATAAAGAAAACAGGAGAACAGCATAACTAGAATGTCTTTGCATTGGAACCCACAGGGGCCTATGAAAAAAGGAAGGCCAAAAAACACACTGAGAAGAGAGCTGGAGAATGAAGTTAGAAAGATGGGGAGGACATGGGGATAGAACGACTTTGTGTCAGTTGGTTGAGGGTCTATGCTCCATTGGGGGACAGAAAGGCAGAAGAAGAAGAAGAAGAAGAAATACAATGTTTAAGCAAAAAAAAAAAAAATGTATTATTTCTGCTTTGTTGTGTCCTTCAGCTTTTTTCAATGGTAACCAAGTGTTCCATGATTCTCTGATCAATTATAAATTCTTATTTCCATATGTGGAGAGTTTTCTGTGATCACCTTTGATAATCAAATTAATTATAAATTATTTGCTTATCTGACAACAACAAAGATGTGTATTTTTTATAACTGATACTTTACCAGCCAAGAGAAAGGAAGAAATAATATTATCTGACAGACTGTGGGAACAACACCATGCACCAGATTTAAAACAAAGAAACACAAGATCAAATAGTTAGATGATCTCATTAGACTGCAGCTACAGCAACTACCAACACAGGCGCTACCTATGACAAGATGTGATGTAAAAGTAAGAGGTCTCCCTAGGAGAATATGGACTGATGACATTAACATGAAATAACACTAGCCACTGCTACCCAGCATACAATGGATCCAAAACTGTTTCTCTCCATGGTACTTCACTGCAAACGTAGAAATTATGCTGATGATGATGATGATGATACAACAAATCTTTATACAAATATAATGTGTGAAACAACTACCTAGGTCTGGAGCTAGTGGGTAGACAAGATATAATGTTAGATAAGAATGTCTTTAGCCTAGCAGTTATTGAACCCAGTAACAAACACGATAGCTCAAAATACAATTTTCAGTAGTGGTAGGGGTGTATTTAATTAATCAGTACAACTCTAGTAGATATTTTTCAAAAAGTACTATGCTGCTGCTATCAAGGATATATACAGTATCTACACAATTAACCCTTTGCATTGCTGGTTCCACAACAAGAACTGAACTGATCAGAGTTTAGAACGTTAAGAGTTTGATGTGAGTATGCAGGTAAACGAGCAGGCTTATAAACTAGCTGCTGCCATTCCTATAGGCGCAGCGTCCGTGGCTTAGGCTTTGTGAGTCCGACTCATAATTCCAGTGTACCGTGATCGAAACCCACTGCTGGCTGCGTGGATTGTTATCATGGTATGGGGCGTCGCAGGTCGACCCAGCCTAAAATGGGTACCAGGATGTATTTCCTGAGGAAGTAAAGACAGCCGGTGTAATGCTGACAACATTACCCACCTAAGGCCGATGGTCTGTAAAAATATGGGTGTTCTTCCCATATACCCGATACGTCTAAAAGGCGTGAAAAGGGATCTTTACTTTACTATTCCTATAGGCAGTGAGCTACTTTTTGATGAAAAGAATGTTTGAAAAAGACAAACTATCTTGGATCAGGCAGCTGAGCAGAGAGAAGGTTGATACTTGACAAGAGTGATTTGACAGAGAGTGATAAGAGGATCTGGAAGATACTTTATGTTTCAGGGAAAAGATACATTAAATTGCTTCCTTCACCATCAGCAAAGAAACTTTTCCCTGGCTACTGAAGGAGACTGAGCACATGTGGGAATATTAAGAGAGCAGTTTAGTTAATTCTGGACTCAATCATTCAGTCACTGTCTCAAAAGAAATGCAGTGAATTAAAAACAATGACTATGCATCTGGCTAGGAACAAATAATATTAAGGAACAAATAATATAAAGAAACAAATAATATCTCCAAAATGCAGAATCAAAGTAAATAAGACTACCCTGAAGCATGTCAATCTGTTCAGTTACCTGAGTAATTGAGCTATCTATTGGAAGATGTTAAATGTAGAATAGCTTAAACAAAAGCAGAATTTCAGATGATAAAGAATACTCTGTGCAAAATATTTTTGTCAAGTGAAGTGAGAAGGAGAGTTGTTAAAGTTTATAAAGAGCTATTACTGGTGCAAGGAAATGAACTGTGAACAGGCAGCAGGGAAAGTCATTAGGAGGTTGCAGCGGTGTAGTTTTATAGATAAATCATGGGAAGATCATGGACAGAAACAAATCGTAGTAAAGATGTTTTTAAAAAAAATAACTTTACACACATCATGAGAAATGGGAAAACTGGAGTATGTCACCACAAGAAGAAAATTGTAGGGAAAATAGAGGCATAGGGAACCCAGAGAGAGAGTGTGTGTGAGAGAGAGAGAGAGAGTGTGTGTGAGAGAGAGAGAGAGAGAGAGAGAGAGAGAGAGAGAAAGAAAGGACGTTTGACAGTATCTGGACAGACATAATGACTAAAGACATGATGAGATATAATGACCAAAGACATGATGAGATATAATGACCAAAGACATGATGAGATATAATGACCAAAGATACGATGAGACATAATGAACAAAGACATGATGAGATTTAATGACCAAAGACATGATAAGACATAACGACCCAAGACTAGTGGCCACACAGCCTGGACCATAATAATTTACAAACTGAGCCGTGTGTACATTTGTGTCACTCAAGTAACCAGTACTTACAATTTTCCTTTTGTGTCATTGACTTTCAGTGTCAGCTCATTAATCTGTAGATGAAGACATAAATACATTTGTTCATGTTGTGAAGTGTATATGATATATGAGTATGTGTGGTTTAAATAGGTATGACACCTGGAGGTGGCTGTGGTAAGCTGGTGTGTTATGATTATTGTGACTTCCAGTTCCAATTTTTCCTAAAAAAACTTAATTTTCATTAAATTCTCTCATTAAAACAATCCATTTGTGATACAGAAGTTTTAGAGCGGAGGTAGCCAGATTTCTGAAGTATGCACACTGATAAAACATATTTTAAAAAAAAAATGACATTGCCTGATGAGATGCTCTGAATAAACAAGGAAAAGCCACTGATATATGACACACTGATCTGGATCTACAGAGTCTTATTTTATATCAAAGCAACATTTTCCCATTGTGAATTTGAACAAAGGAGACAAACAAAAAATTGCACAATTTTTTGTCTGGCATATTTCGCTGTGCATACCACAGTAACAATTGATTAAAATGAAACAAATAAATGAATCCTTCGAACTGAAACACAAGCATAAACTTGTTTAGTCCAGAATTATGGAGACAAAAGGACATGCTCTTCACCTTACATTTACCCTGGTGAAGCAGACTGTTTTTTAATGTTGTTGATTTTACGTTTTAATTCATTCAGTTTGCCATGTCTCTTGCTCATCCCCTCTCATTTTCATATTAACAAAACTTTCTCTAATGTTTTGTTCTAATGGTGTGCCCATAAATTACAAATAATATCCAGTAAGTATAAACTTTACATAAGAAAACACACACATACACACAAAAAACACACACACATGCACAAACACACAACTCAGTAAGACAAAAACATGTTGCAACATAAAAAGACATTATCTACTAATTAAGAGTAGATTCAGAAGTTTTGATTTTCTATTGAAGTTAACAGTCAAATGTTATCACCAAAAATATACAGCTTATCCATCTTAAAAAATTTTTTTTTTAAAATCTGAGGTGATGTGCTTACCTCAAAGTCCTGTTTGCGAATCTTGATCTCCCAGTCGTAAACCTCTTCCTCTAAGACACAGACTTTCTGGTGGAGTTCTTTGACCAGCTGCTCAAGCTCAGCTTTTGGCAACAAGAACGAGAAACAAAGCTCTAGAATCTATGACAGGTTCTTCCAATCACAAAAACAAAAACAGGTAAATACTGTAGAGAAGGGTTATTCAACTAAGTTTCCTCAAGGGACAATTTTTTGAAAATGTGGATTGTCATGGGCCAGCGGCCCCAGCCCAAGCATAGAAATCTAGTTAACACAAAATGATTGGCAATGATCTGCAAGTCACTTGCTAGGCCAGTTAAATAGTCCTGCTGTGAGGTGTCAGGTGCTGAGCAGTGTGCACACAAACCTACCCACTCGCACTACAGGTTACTTCAGAACCATTTTGTGGTGCCCCTGATTACAAAAATATGTATAACAAAAAAAAAAATTGCTCCCTGGTGCACATCCAAAGTGGGGCAGCAATCTTTACACTGTCATTACAGCATCATCATATTCGTCTTCATTGTGATATCACATACTCAACCCTCTTGACAACCTTAACTACAGTACTGACAGGTTACAAGATAATATCATGGCTACTGTAATTTGTATCACACTTTTATGTTTTTAAATTGAGGCCTCCTCATATTAACTTCAACCACTAATTTTCATTAGTTTGATTATAACTGTTCTGTTATAAACGAGGGAGCCACGAATGTGAAGTGTCTTGACCAGGGCTATTCAACTAAGTTTACCAAGGGGCCAACATTTGTAAAATGAGGATCGCCACAGGCCAGACCTTAGTGTAGAAAGATCATTAATACAACTGGCAATGATCCGTGGGCTGCTTGCTATGACTCTGCGGGCCAGATTTGACCCGCGGGCTGCCAGTTAAATAGCCCTGGTCTAGATGCTCACCTTTTATGATCAAGGCCATTTTTTTTGTCAAAACTGACATTGGCTTCCAGATCACCCTAACCTACCATAGGTACCAGATAGTGTCCTGGGAAGTAAATCTGGCCAGAGTGATGCTGACCATATCACCAGCTGAATGCAGAAGGGTTTTTATAAAAAAAAAGATGTCTAGTACTATATGCCTGATTGGCCAAAAAATGTGAAAATGGCGCCTTACTAACTTGACTTTATTATAATGAAAAGTCCCCATGTGGGTTCCTGGGTCCCATATTTGGGGAACCAGCATGTTATAAAAGGTAACTAATTAAGGATTTTCGCTTCCAAATCAGAGCACATATGCCTGAGTGGCAAGGAACTACCAGTCTGCATACAAGTACTCCAGATCTGTAAAACAAATGTGCACACAAAATTCAAGTTCTGAAATAAGAATGACCTTTCAGCCAATGAACGCTAAGGTGAAAAAGAAGAAGAAAATGGAAACTCTGAAAATAAAAGACGAAGATTATGTGACAACCTGACATACCTTGTGATTTTCCCTCAGTTTTGATTATTTGAACCCTGTCATTGATATATTTTTCCTTCTCAGCCGCTTTCTGCTTTGCCTCATTACGGAGATCCTCAGCTGCTTTTTGCATAATCAGTTTCTACACAGGAATGGGAGAAATTCATAATCAGAAAAATTTATTTAAACAGTTGTACGTCCCCCATCAAGCCCTTTTATGGACACTGGAAGGGAAAAAGAAAACGGGGAAGACCAAAAGAGACCCAGCGTAGAACCATCATCAGGGAAGGCTCAACCAGCGACTTAATAACACCAAAGACTTTAAACAGGTGGCAACGAACTGCCAGATATGGAGAGCTGTGACCTCTGCCCTATGTACCTCCATAGGCTCAAGACGAAAGACTAACTAACTAACTAACTAACTAACTAACTAACTAACTAACTAACTAACTAACTAACTAACTAACTAACTAACTAACTAACTAACTAACTAACTAACTAACTAACTAACTAACTAACTAACTAACTAACTAACTAACTAACTAACTAACTAACTAACTAACTAACTAACTAACTAACTAACTAACTAACTAACTAACTAACAGTATTACAATCAGATTAAAGTATAATGAGAATAATGTGTATCTATGTCTGTTGTCTGTTTTCTCCTCTGGGTTGCTATCTGAAATTTGATCACATTGGGACACCGAGAGTCTCATCCTCAGCAGAAGACCAGCAGGACAAATCCCACAAACCCCGTTTACAACCACTCCCCCCACCCCCTTTACCACTCAACATTGGGTGAGAAGAGGAGTGGGTCAGAGTACCAGCGGAAAAGTCTGACCTGTGTAGGGTTATGATAACATTGGGCTGGGTAGGCAGAGAGTGGCCAGCGGGTGCTACGGAGGTGGACGTCCAACAGTTGATTCACAACAATTCACTCAAGTGATCTGATTATCTATACAGATGGTTCAGTGTTGAGAGGAAAGAGAAGGCCTGGGGGTTTGTAGCGAAAGCCAATGGAAAATCTTTCGTGCAAGACAGCCTAGCATATGACACCACATCATCTAGCATGAGAATGAAGGTGGAGGCAGTAACTGCAGCTCTCCGGTGGCTAGAGAACAAGATACATACACATGTCGTAATTGTATCAGCTTCTGAAAGTATGCTGAAAAAGGTGAAGACAGGGATACTTTGAGCAGAGTGGCAAGCTTCACTGGAAAGATCACGGGTAGTGAGCATACTTTGGATCTTTTCTCCAGGCCATGCTGGCATGGTGGGTAATGAACAGGCAGACAGATTGGCTGGATCCGCACCACTGGGTGGTGAATTGATACATGACAAGGTCAAGGCCCTTTGGGAACAAGCAACGGAATCAGTAGAGAAAGAAGATTATTATGGCCTGGAGAGAATGAGGCACCTGGGTGTAACCAGAGGGTCGGGCCGGCTCATCACACTCAGAGGAAAGGCAAGACGGACATATAACCAGATTGTGACTGGTACCATCAGTACTGGAACTCTGCGCTGGCTGCTGAAGATGAGAACGGAGCATGCATGGGAATGCCCTCAGTGCTGTGATGTCAATTCTGGACTCAACTCAACTCACCTGCCTCCCCCCCCCCCCCCCCCCCCCCCCCCCCCCTAGTTAATATTAGGGCACCTGTAATAGATTCAACAGCAGATGATTTAACCCGCACTGGTATGGGTCAGGAAAAGAAGTATATTTTTTATATTATAATCAGAATTATGTGTTGGACATTAGAATTAGAATGATATGTTTTACATTAGAATCATGTGTGTTACATCAGTCATAATCATGTGTTTTACATTAGAATCATGTGTGTTACATCAGTCATAATCATGTGTTTTACATTAGAATCATGTGTGGGACATCAGTCATAATCATGTGTTTTACATTACAATCATATGTGTTAAATCAGCCATATTCATGTGTTTTACATTAGAATCAGAATCATGTTTTTGACATTAGAAACAGAATCATTTGTTCGACATCAGAGGCAAAATCATGTGTTTTATGTTAGAATCAGAATCATATGTACTGCATCAGAGCAGTACCATATGTATTAAATTATAAAGAGAATCATGTTTCTGTATTAGAATGAGAATTCAGCTTTTTAATTATTAAAAAAAAAATGTCATAGTGTTTGGTGAATTCTTTTCTCATTATCTCCCTTTTTGGTTTTCAGGGCTTTATTTTTGCAGGACAGAAGAATAAATCCACTCCCTCTTAACTCTTGCTGTCTCAACCAACGCACTATGTGTACTCAGCATATGTCTGTGTGCATCAACACAACAAATAGTGTTATTATTTATTTTATGTTTGGTCTGCATATGCAAAAAATCTGGCTAAATATTTTAAGTGCAGCACAGTATAAGCTGTATCTTTAAAAGTTATACACAGTGATTATGGTGCTAAATTATATTTCAAGTTTGAAAAGACATGCGACTGAAAGATTTAACAAGCATGTCATAAGAGGCAAGTACATAAGAATGTTCTAAAATCGAATGTGTTGGGTTGACAGGCAAAAAAAAGTGTACCATATGCCTTTGTAAGAGTCAACGCAAAAGTAGAAGAATTCCTTTATATCAGCTAATATCATTTTCGTGTGTTTACTCCCAAATATACAGATACAAGGGTAACAGACCCAGAGGTCGTCCACGCAGAAATGGACTGCAGAAAAATCAGAGACACTAAAAAGTACTATTTACAAAGCGAACGGAAGGTCCTTTTCTAGAGATCTCTTCTTCCGTCTGATGCTGCGAGCATTCCAGTAGAAAAAAAGAAAGAAAAAGAAGAAGAGTGCCAAAGCAAAAAGCAAATGGCCGTAACACTTAATATTTTCCGCTAAGCCTTTACAGTGAGTTATCTGAGTTCACACATGCTACTATTTCAATGCAAAAATATAAAACTATTGCAAACATAAATTTCCTAGTTTTGACAATTTCCCATTTATTTTATTTCCTTAATTGCACGTTTAAATACAAAGGTACACATGCTGCCCAGACATACACACAAACAAGAACACACACACACACACACACACACACACAGACAGACAGACACACACACACACGAATGCACGCTCGCACGCATGCACTCACACACACACACGAGAGAGACAGAGAGAAAGAGAGACACAGAGAGAGAGAGAGAGAGAGAGAGAGAGAGAGAGAGAGAGAAAGATTTCTGAAATCACTTAACTTGTTTACTCTTCGGTGTAAGACAAGTACTGTGAAACATTAATCCTTTGATTTATTTGTTGATCTGATTTTTAACAGTAATCATTTTATTTATTCTTTGATCTAATTTTATGCTGAGTGAAACATTAATCTTCAATTGATCCTTTGATCCTACCTTCAGCAATTTCTTCTTCTCTGCAGACAAGCCGCCAAGTCCCTTCCTCTTGCCTTTCTTCTTCTTCTTCTCCTCCTCTTCAGCTTGAACCCGGGCTTCCTGTAGAGTTAGAAATAAAAATTGAAAAATGTGGCTGAAACATTTGACTAAACTGCTAGTTAGTCATTAGTGGTTGGTAAAGTTTTAACACAGCATTAAAAGCTCACAATTTCTATGCCAGTGAAAATCATACAAAATGCCCTACCCTGCCCGCCCTCCCTCCCTAAAAAAAAAAAAAACTGTTGAAAAACATGACAGTTTCAGCGAAATCTTTGCACATCACTACTGTAACTAGTTACTAAGCGAAAGTAATAAATAACAAATGCCTAAGGAATGTGAAAAAAAAAAAAACCCATTCTTTTTTGTTCTACTGCTTCAATGTAAGACGTCCAGAGAGGAGCTATATAAAGTTTTCCGTCTTTTAAATGGGGCAAGAAAGGTAAAGAAAAAACAGAAATGCATGAACAACCCATGGTGATATCAGTTGTAAGGTAAAGAGAACGGCAATATACTGGGCACTTCTTGGAATCACAAAACACGGACGAAGAATCACAAAACAAAAGAGGACAAAGAACCACCAAACAAGCGAACAAAGAACAACCACACAAAAGAGGACAAAGAACCACCAAAAAAGCGAACAAAGAACAACCACACAAAAGAGGACAAAGAACCACCAAACAAGCGAACAAAGAACAACCACACAGAAGAAGACAAAGAACCACCAAACAAGCGAACAAAGAACAACCACATAAAAGAGGACAAAGAACCACCAAACAAGCGAACAAAGAACAACCACACAGAAGAAGACAAAGAAACATCAAACAAGCGAACAAAGAACAACCACATAAAAGAGGACAAAGAACCACGAAACAAAAGCAGACAAAAAAACCCACAAAACAATCACTGAAATTGGAAACAAATAAACTGAGGAAACAAATGAACCGAGGAAACAAATGAACTGAGGAAACAAATGAACTGAGGAAACAAATGAACTGAGGAAACAAATGAACTGAGGAAACAAATGAACCGAGGAAACAAATGAACCGAGGAAACAAATGAACTGAGGAAACAAATGAACTGAGGAAACGAATGAACTGAGGAAACAAATGAACTGAGGAAACAAATGAACTGAGGAAACAAATGAACTGAAGACACAAATGAACTGAGGAAACAAGGAAATCCTAGAAAAACCCAAGATCAACATTATTGAGAGAGGCAAAAACTGCTGAACTAGATTCCATCTGTAATATTGATATTGAAAGGGTTGCACATGACAAAATGGAATAGAGGATCTGACTGTGAGCCGTACGTGGCGTACAACAGTCCAGCATAATGATGATGATGATTACAGTAATAATCAGCTGGACTGGAGCATTACAGATTACTACATTTTAACAGTTACATTCACAACAGTATATATCTGCAGCAATGAACCTCAAGGGCTATGAATGCTGAAGAAGAAGAAGAAAAGTTTATCGCAGTAGTGCAATGGTTAAGCAGTCGTCTACCAGCCCAAAAGTCTTGGGTTTGTATCTATAC